CCCTCTGCCCCGCAGCGCCCCCTGCCCCGCAGCACCCTCTGCCCCGCAGCGCCCCTAGTGGCCGGCGCCCCGCAGTGCCCCTGCCCCGCAGCGCCCCCCACTAACGCAGGGCAGAGCAAGGGAGGGGCGGATATTCAGGGCTTGGCCTCTGGCCTGGCTCGGACTCAGGAGGGAGAGCGAGGCCAGACCGGCGCTGGGCCAGCAGGTGCGGGCGGCGCCGGGGGCAGAGCAGGAGCCTGCGGAGCGTGGGAGACGAGGCTCAGGCCCAGTCTCCGGAGCAGCTGAAAGACGCTCTGGGGGTGGCGCGGGGGCCGCAGACACCGCAGGCCTCCAGGACCGTGTTGCGGGGTCTGGGGGCTCGCAGACCGGGCCTAGAAGCTCTGCGAGACTCCCCAGAGGCGACCCCCGCGTCACCATGGCGCGGCCTTGGTGCTGGCCCGGCGCTCTAGCCACCACGAGGCGCCTGGGCGCCGCTGCCGCGTGGCGCAGCTGCAGAATAGCCATGAACTCATGAGGACAGGAAGCCAAATGCCCACAGGGAAAGGACGCGGGGCTGCGGGAGGACCACGCGGGAGCAGAGGAAGGCGCTGGGCACCCAGCGCTGCGATTCAGGCGCCTAGGCCAGGCCAAGGCCAGCAGCCCGCTCGCTGGTGGGCACGGAGCGGTCCCTGCACAGCCCAGAACTACAGGCCTGCGGACGTCCCACCAACGACACCCTCTGCTCTTCGGCCGGGAGAACGGCCCGGCAGCCCCGCTGTGGCCCCTCAGCCAGTCCCCCCTCCCGGAGCCAGCTCACCCTGCAGGGGCGAGAGGCACCAGCAGTGGCGCTAGACGTGCTGGTGCAGCGCGCAGGCCCCCGCAAAACTGCGGGCTCCTGATCCTCCTCCTCCACTCACCTCGTTTGCCGAGGGACGTAGGAGACCACAGGCACCCGCGTGTCCCGGACGAGACCATGCCCTGGAGGCTAGGTCAGGCGGAAGCACCTGCCCCCATCAGCTGCACTTTAAGAGCGCTGATTATTAATGTCATTACAAGCCTAAGAAGACATTTGTCTCCCAGAAAGCAATGTCGGTGTGTAAATGCCCCGAGTTCTGTAATTATGTCCCAGAAGGAAAGGGGGTTCCCTGGAGAAGCCTGGGGTAGGAAGGAAATTGGAATAAACAGGGGCCTGATTTTAAGAAACGGTGATGGCCATTAAAGGTGCTTACCAGCGCTCTGATTTCCCACCTGCGTCTGCCACTGGGTCTTTGTAATAAGGAGGAGGCCAGTGTTCCCCAATGGGCAGAGCAGCCTCAGAAGGATTCGCTCCACACAGGAACCTGCTTGTTTTAGGTTCCACCCAGCAAGGCCAGGCCACCCATCTGACCGCCCTGGGGCAGGTTATGCTACAGCAGTGAGCCTCCTACCCAGATGATGGGCGAGCCTCCAAGGATGAAGACCAAGGGCGACTGGTGCTGTGGATTACGGAAGAAGCCCAGCGCCTGACTTCTAGCCCAGAGCTCAGGCCTGCAGTTTTCACTTAATATTTCCAGCTCAAAGGATTTTTAATTTATTTTTACTTGGCAATAACTCATTGTGTGTGGTAGGGAAGAGTGTAGCTTTCCATTCATCATTAGAGGCCATTCTAGAAGGAGGAGATGAATTCAGGGGCGGTGGTGGGAACAGGATTTAGTCACCAGCAAGTGGAGAGGGTTTTTTGAGAGCTGAGGGAGGGAGCAGGGAATGCCTAATAGACTCTGTTATTTACTTGTTCTGGCTGAATGAGACACATTCGACTTCTCATTGCGAGACCCCTCTGGCGAGCTCTCCGGGTGATTTGCGGCATCATGGGCCCTGCGCAGATTCTGTGCAAACTCTTGTTGCCCACCACTGCTCAGTCATCTGTGAAACAATCAGTTGTGCGAGCTCCAAGACCCCACAGTGGGCAGGAAATGCAAGGGCGGCAGCCCTCCACTTGTTGGGTGCCGTCCACCCCCTGCAACAGAATAGCAGGGTCGCTCTCCAATATGACTCGCCTTAGAAGGACCCACAGGGAGATGGATGCTTGAATCTCACCAGCTCCCCTTCACTGGGGTGGGGGTACCTTCAGATCGGAGGTATTTCATAGATACTGTGGGAAAGAAGAAAAGAGGCAGAATAGAGAACTAAAGAGTGGGGAAATGAAGAGGAACTGAATTGGAAAGAAGAGAAGAACCATTCAAAACCTGTTGGAAGTGTGCACACTCGATTCAAAATAAGGCTTTCTCCTTCCTAAGACTCGTCGAGGATGTCTGATCTTTTAACAAATCCAGATTGCAGCTCTCATCCATCCAAATTAATATTTTGCATTTCCAACATCGGTAGACTAGCTTGTCTCATTTAGCAAAATATACGGATCCCTGGAAAGGTGAACCTAAGTTCATTTTTTAACTTCCATTTTAGAAGTACCAGTAAGTCCTGCTTATGATTCTGTCATGAATGTTTTGGAATCTAGATGATCAAATTTTGTTCAAAGGCCCAAGTGTTGAATGTTTTTCAAATTCCCCAAGTTATATGTGGAGGAGGGTGATAAAATGCCAACATTTAAATAATGAGCCAGATTCATGACGGTATATAGACACTAATCCTGAAATTCTCTACTCTCCCTTTGATGGGCCTGTGGAGTTAGGCCCATGCAATCTTGGAGAGCACAGAGCTCGGTGCCATGTCCTGAAATGCTGTCATTACTGAGGTTGGGCCCAGGGGTTCACAGAAAACCCCAAGTAACAGTTCACTCCTGAAACTGCTGGAACTGACAAATCCAGACTGAGTAGCATGTTTTTCAGGGCATGATTTATCCTTGCTTTAACCTTGGTCATCCTAAGGTTGTGTAGTTACACTGTGTGTGTAACTGGCTTGGTTTATGAATCCCACCACTGAAGACTCTACTACTGATTTAATATTTATTGAGCACCCAAAATATGTCAAACACAGTACAAGCCCCAGCCTGCAGAGCTTTACACAGCGAGTCAGCCACACATGCGTCTTACACACATAGCAAAGACACCAATGCATGAAGGAAAATCAATCAAGGAACTGCCTTAGGGAACGAAGGTGCTCCTTGGGGGATGGGCCCTGGGCTCACTCCCAAATCTAGCCACACTTTCACCTGGGTCCCCTTGATGTCAGTTCTGTGCCTTGTTTTTGCAAGACTACTGGATGTTCAGGAATGCAAACCACAGGACAGAGGTGGTTAACTAGCCTCCCAAGAAAACAAACCTGGAGCTTAGCACCCCCTGTCGAAGAGCCGGCTGAACGTCCACAAGAACAAAATTCAGGAAGGTTACATCAACAGAAATACTGCTACCTACGCATCTCTCACAGTTGCGAATTCCAGGTAACTGTTGCCAACACATATTGAAACACTCCCCAGCCGATTTAGTGAGATAAATCTATTGATTGACTGCCAAAAGTGAGACCTGGTGACAATGCCTGCAAAGAGGATTACAGAACCTCCTGTCGGCCTGGGAAAGGGCTGCTGCCAAGTACCAGACGGGCTCAGTTCCCAGGTCTATGGCCTGTATGACTCCTTGCAGGAGGAGGACTGGATGCTTGCTGTTACCTAAAGTGAATTATATTAAATAAAATTTCCTAATGCAACCTTATGTGGATTTCTCTAGGATTCATTTGAGATTTTTTTTAAATATATTTTTACTGATTTCAGAGAGAGATGGAAACATCAATGATGAGAGAGAATCACTAATTGGCTGCCTTCTGCATACCTCACACTGGAGATCAAACCCACAAGCCTAACATGTGCCCTGACCGGGAATGGAACCATGGCCTCCTGGTTCATAGATCAACATTCAACCACTGAGCCATGCTGGTCGGGAGTGGGAGATTTTTTTTTAAGTTTGTTTTATAGTCAAACTAGTCCCAAATAGATTTCAATAGGGTAAGAATTAATTAGTTGCTATTCATTTGCCAATTGGCTTAATTTGTAAAAATATTTATAAACACAACACAATTCCCCAACCTCTTCAGGCTCTCCATAAAATCCATATAAGTGTTAAAAAGTTTAAGCTGTAAGCAAGATAGAAACAGGTGGCAGCTTTTCTAGTAATTATTGGGACACTTTCTTCTCACAGTTGATATAGGCTTTCTTACATCAGGCTAATCAGGGAACACTTCAGTTTTTGGATTGGGAGTAATTCCTGGTGTATAACTTTATAATGCAATTGATCTGATTGGACTCATACAGTGCCTTACGCATAGGAAATGTGTAAGGAAACTGTTGAATGAACACCTATAGATCCCTGATTATATTAAAACCAACTGAAATGCTTTAAAAAAAAAAACACTTATGCCCAGCCCCATCTCACATCAATGGGACTCTGTGAGCAGAGGGTCTAAGGCCAGTGGTTCTCAACCTTCTGGCTCTTTAAATACAGTTCCTCATGTTGTGACCCAACCATAAAATTATTTTCGTTGCTACTTCATAACTGTAATGTTGCTACTGTTATGAATTGTAATGTCAATATCTGATATGCAGGATGGTCTTAGGCGACCCCTGTGAAAGGGTCACTCGACCGCCAAAGGGGTCGCGACCCACAGGTTGAGAACCGCTGGTCTAGGCAGTGATGTTTTCTGATAGCTCCCCCAGGTGATCCTAGGAGCAGCCAGAGCTGAGAACCAGTGAATTTAACCTTGCAACAAAGAGACCCCAATTCGTCATATTTCTCCCCAACTAATCCCATCCTTTGCCCCATCGCCTCCACTCTCCACACATATTCAACCAAAGAATGCTCTAAGGCAGTGGTTCTCAACCCTCCTAATGCCACGACCCTTTAATACAGTTCCTCGTGTTGTGGTGACCCCCAACCATAAAATTATTTTCGTTGCTACTTCATAACTGTAATTTTGCTACTGTTATGAATCGTCATGTAAATATCTGATATGCAGGATGTATTTTCATTGTTACAAATTGAACATAATTAAAGCATAGTGATTCATCACAAAAACAATATGTAATTATATATGTATTTTCCAATGGTCTTAGGCGACCCCTGTGAAAGGGTCGTTCGACCCCCAAAGGGGTTGCGACCCACAGGTTGAGAACCGCTGCTCTAAGGAAACATGACATGTGTGGCCTTGAGCCTCGAAAGTAACAGAACTGCTGGAAGCACAGGAGCCTGTCCCTGGGGTGCCTGGGAGGTAAGTCCATTGGGAGGGCGAGGGACACAGCGTTGTGGGCGGGCTGCATTATTAGAGCACAGGGTCTTTGTTCTCCACGTCCACAGGTGAAGCCAACCGCTCGAGTTAGTGTCATTGCCAAAGGTAACTTGCATCTCCCGAGTTAACCTGTGTTTTCCTTTCTCCCAAGCCAGGCTTTTCCTACCCTTCCCCATGCTTCAAACACTCGAGCCATATACCTACTAAAGACTCGGATTGAGAACTAGCCCAACCACCAATCCTCACCCTTCCATCCTGGTTGTTGGCACTGGAGTAATAGCATCGAATCCTTGTCATCCCCAAATCGCCCCCTCTTTTGCTTCCTTTCAGGGAACACCTTAATGAGTGAATGCGCTCCTTTCCAGGAGTAAGAGAAGGGGAGGAGGGGAAACACGGATTCAGCTGCTTAGTGAGCTGTGGCGGCCCTGGAATCTGACAGTTGGTAACCGAGAGGCTGCAGACATAGCTCAGGCCCTGCATGTCACGAGGGCTGATCTGACAGCTGGATTTCAGGTGTCATTTCCTAACACTCCTGCCCTCACTGCCCACTCACTGTCCAAACATCAGTGTGGAAACCCTTGTCACGGGGCACTTGTCCTCGTTTACAGAAGGTCCTCAGGGTGTTAAGGTGAGAATTAGCAGCATGGTATCGTGGCCCAACGGCCTTCACCTGTTCCCTTAACCGTGTGTGGAAGGAATTACGTGTTTGGTCTGTGCGTCCTGTGCGTGACTGCTTATTTTTCTGATTGGGCCTTAAGGAAACTTCTCCCAGTCCTTGTCATCTGGATTGATCATGCTCCAAGCGTGTCACTGCAGAGCAGGTGCTGAGTGGCTGGAAGACAGCTGTGGATCTGCTGCGGCCAAGCGATTGGAGGGTGCAGGAGAATGCTGTGGCACGCAGCTGCCACTGCATGTTCAGGAAAGCTATATGTGAGTGCCCACCAGTGGCAGGCACTGGGTGTGTATACACAAACATACACACAGATAGAAGGTCTGTCCTCTGCACGGCTATCTGTCCCCTTAAGTGACTGGTACCTTTTCCTCTTTATTCCTATTTATTTATCTCTTCACTAACTAATTTATCTCATCATTTTCAAATAAAAGTGGGGGATGAGGAGGGGGAACATAACAGCAAGACCTTTTCAAAGGTCCTTTTTAAGTGTTTTGTACTATAAATGCAAGTGGATTTCAAATGAAAATGATGCATCAAGGTCTTATTCAGGAAATGCTAACATCCTAGCTGTAGACTAGGAATGCCTATTTCCCCGGAATTTTAGAAATAAATGGGTTCAAATTAGGGAAGCAATATCAGGCATTATATCTCAGCCTTAAAAATTGCATCCATTTTAAAAGGCAAACTGAAGAGCTTTGCCAAACTCCTACGCAGTCACTTTAACTCCTACCCGCAGTGTTCCTTCTCATCTCACCATTGAGCAAACAGGAGGCAAGGCATGGGAAGCAGCCACGGTTAGGAAACACTGTTTTAAAACCCAAGAGCTTTGTTTGGCCTTTAAAGCATAAAGAGACAAATAATAAATCCCCTTTCCTCTCCTGGGGCCTCCTCCAAGCAAAGCACTTGCACCAAAGCCCACTTAACATTTCACAAAGACTCAAGGACAAGGCAAAGCTGCTGGACAAGGGGACTGGGCTGGAAGTTTGGCCCGTCTTGGTTTAGCTCTGGAGCTGGGAACAAGCCCTCCAGCCCAGCCTCGGAGACCAGTGGTCGTGGAGCTCCCCAGCCCAGGCCGGGTGCAGTGGCCTCAGATGACCACGCTGACTGTCATGCTCTGGCCTTGCGGCGCGATCTTGCGCGGCCAGGCCAGCAGCAGCTTGCGCAGCTCCTCGCGGAAGCTGTCGTGCAGCCACGCGTAGATGAAGGGGTTGTAGCAGACCGAGCTCATGGCGAGCCAGTGGCAGAGCAGCTGCACCAACCCGAAGGCGTCGGGGTCGATGGCGCGCGGGTCGAGGTCCCGCAGCAGGTTGAAGACGTGCAGCGGCAGCCAGCAGATGGCGAACACCACCACCACCACCACCAGGAGGCAGAAGGTGCGGCGGCGCCGCGCGCGGTCCCAGTCGGCCTGGCTCTGGGTCACGCAGCCCGGCACCACGCGGTTTCGGAGCTTCACCGACACCCGGACGTAGGACAGGAGGATGACCAGCAGGGGAAGCAGGTAGGTGACGAGCAGCAGTCCCCAGGCATAGAGCTGGCGCTGGCGCTCCTGGGACCCCCAGAACTCCTCGCAGAGGCGCACGCGGTGCGGCTTGAGCTCGACATGATAGGTGTGCAAGGCCGCGGGCACCGCCAGCACCGCGGACAGCGCCCAGATGCCCAGCACCGCGTAGGCGCTGAAGCGCAGCGAGATGCGCCGGCGAAGCGGGTGCACCAGCACGACGTAGCGGTCCACCGCGATGGTGGTGAGCGTGAACACGGACACGTAGACGGTGACGGGCTGCAGGAAGAAGACCAGGTGGCACAGGCCGCCGCCGAACACCCAGCCGCGCGGCTCGAAGGCGTAGGCCAGCGTGAGCGGCACGCAGGCGGTGCACATGAGCACGTCGGACAGGGCCAGGTTGCCGATGAGGAAGTTGGTCACGTTGTGCAGCCGGCGCACCCGCGCGATCACCAGCACCAGCAAGCAGTTGCCCGCCAGCCCCACGACGACCACGAGGCTGTAGAGCAGCACGATCAGCCCCTTCAGCTGGTGCACCAGCTGCAGACTCTGGAACGGCGTGGTGGCCGGAGCGCCTGCGCCAGCTGCTGACCCATTGCCCACCGAGGCCTCCGCACTCTGATTGCCAGGGGCTGAGGCCGCTGGGAGAAGTCCAGGAGAGAAGTCAGGAACCAAGGGGTCCTGAGTCATCGGCAGCGAGGTCATGGCCACCTGTACAAAGAGAATCCAAGTGCCTCACTTCCCATTCTCTACCCGCCCCCTCCTCCCGAGCCACTCCCCTCCCCAATTACCTACATCCTCCCTTCGGAATAACTGGCCAACATAAATAATAATTAAAAGCGCTGTCATCCCACCTCTGCAAAAATAAATCTATGCGTGGCTCTACGTGCACAGGTTCTTTACATGCCTCCTAGTCCATTTAGGGCTGTGGCAATCCACGCAGGCGAGATCCAGGAGCTCGGTCCTACCTGGTGAGTGCGGCGTGGCGGGCGGGAAAGCGCTCCAGGGAGGGAGGGAGAGAATCTGTCCCCTGGAGGTCCAACGCCCTGGACTGCCGTGCAGGCTTCTCGCTTCTCTGCTTTTCTGCGGAAGCTGAACCGATCCAGGAGTTGACAGCGGGCTCGCAGCTTTTGAGGGGGACTGGGAGCGAGCCCCTCCCTTCTGCCCCGCCCCCACTCCAGCGCGCCCTTGTATGGGAAATAGGGGCGGAGCGAAAACCTTCAGGCTCGGCGCTCAGACTACTGGAGCGAAGGGGAGGGTGGAAACAGAAAAGGAAGGAAGGGTGGACACCCCTGGGCGGGAGCTTGCTGCGCCCTAGGAGAGTCCCGCTCCCGAGAAGGGCGGGGCGGACAAGGGGAGCGCGGAGCCAGTTCTCTAGGAGGGAGCGAAGGAAGAAGTGTGGGTGTGGGGGAGAGATGAGGGGCCCGTCCTTAAGCTGGATCCTGCGTAGAGTCCAGGCTGGGGTTAAGGGAGTGGTGTAGGGGTCCCGGCAGGGATTTAAAATGTAGAGCCTGGAGCTGGCCGCAGACCTTCGGCCCTCGCCCACCGCAGGACCCACTGGGCCCTTAGCCTACGTTGCGGATCGGATCGGGCCCAGCCAAAGACGGGGCTCAGCACCGCGGACAGCTCCCGCGGGCCATGCTGCTGGGAGCTGTGGAGCTGGGGGGAGTGGGGGGGAGTTCCGACCCCTCTCTGGGTCCCAGGCATTTAGAAAAGGGACCAGCCTGGTTCAAAGAGCTGCCTCGCCGCCTGCTTTCTGGGCTGGGGCTGCCATGTTGAGGACAGTAGGGTGGAGAGGAGGCCAACCACCGGGGTCTCTGGGGGTTGGAGGGTCAGAAAATACAGCCCTCACGCCACGGTCACTCCCCAGGCACACTCAATGCCTGGCCCCCACTGCACCCTTTCCACTCTGCTTTCTTAGCCACAATTCCCTGTCCCTTCTCTGTCTGACTCTCCCAGTACAGAATGTAAGCTACTGGACTGGGACCCTACTCTCTCCCTCCTAACATGAACACCCTCAGGGCTCCTCACCTCATTTTAGGAGTAAAAATACATACAAATACTAGTAATTGCAGGATTTCCACCAGGATCACAAAAGTAACAAACATTTGAGAAGCTTAAAAGTTACCTGAAATCTTTAGTCGCAGCAGTAAGTCTCATTGAAATGAAAGTCAACTTGGACCACCTTGGGGGGCAGGGTGGGGAAAGAGTCTTTGTAACCTGATAAGCTCAGGGGAGGCCTGCATGGGGGTCCCTACAAACTCAGAGACTGAAAGTAGCCACATTGGATAGTCTGAACGAAGAGTGGATTATGGAAGGCAGTCACATCCTAGGCCTTTAGCTTCCTTTACAAGGGTCAATCTTTACCTTAAATAAGCCCTTCTATTGTCTTTTTGCAGCTGAGACAACATATCTTTGGAATATTAGAGTAATCCACTGCACCAGAGTGCTTGACCCCAGGACCCCTCATTGTGATCTTGTTCTCCAAATACCATCTCTATGTGCTGTAGATGATCATTGTTAGCTGTCTGACACCCACCCGTGGGAACAAAGTGTGTGTCTCTCCATTTCACTCTTTCTCCCCCCCTCCCTAATCTACCACCAGTGGATTTCATGTAACCCTCCTTACACCTCCTCCTTTGATTCTAATGTATACAATAAACTGCCTTTCTCTGGAGCATTTTCTCAATCTGTGAGATTTTGCTTCCCAGCAATTATCGTCAGTTTGGCTCAAATAAACTCATGAAAATCCTCTACAGCTGTAGATGTTTCTTACATGACACTCCTCTGAAGCGGTTTCACCCCTTCGCATCTTACGTCCTTTTTCCAGAGGGTGGAGCTTCTAAGCCCTTGTCCTTTGTCTTCTGGATGCAGATGTCTCTGTTGGGACAGAAAGAAGTAAAACTAGTCGACCCTCCACCTTAAGTGATTCACTCATACCGGAGGAAAAGTCAACATTGGAACAAAAGCGACCAGTTTCATATGCCTATATCTATTCTAAACCCACACTCCCTGAGTTACCATCAATTTAGCTAAAGCCCACCCCCCCCCCCCAAAAAAAAACTAGCCTCCAAAGTTATAAGAAACATAGCAACCCCTCATGCCAGGGTTTCTCACCTGGCACTAGTGACATTTGGGGCAGGACAATTCTGTGCCATGTGGGGCTGTCCTGTGCACTGTAAGGTGTTTAGCAGCATCCCTGGCCTCTACCCTCTAGATGCCAGGAGTACACATACCCAATTGTGACAACCAAGAATGTTTCTAAAATTTGCCAAATATGCCCTGGGTGTGGGGGTAGGGGACAAAATCACCCCAGGTTGAGAACCAGTGCCTTACACCAATTCAGCACTCTTGAAGTTCACAACGTCCTCTGCTTGAAAGTGCTACCAGCCTTCACAGTCGGCTCTCTTCAGACCTCTGACCCCCAGAATTGTATTTCAAAACCTTGCATTTACCAGATTGTCTTCTCATCGCTTCCGGAAAGAGCAACGGGGCAAGTGGGAAAAGGTGATGCTTTAAGAAAGGCCTAGAATAAGCCCAAGTTGATTGCCAGACAGAGGAGATCACTGGCTCCAAAGCCCAATAAGGCACACAGCTCTGAGCTTGTATGGAGGCTCCACCATCACTCAGCATGAGCGCTGGGCAAATTCTTTATACTGGCAGGACCCCAGTTTTGGAAAATATAGGAAATTTGTAAAAATACCCACCTCTGGAGAACGTTGAGAAGACCCAATATGTACACAGTGAAGGAAATGCACATAACTGACACATGGCAACGGCGGCTAGTCTTGGATGATCCTTTGTCCTGCCTTATGTCACTACTTCTTGTCACGAGGGTTTCAGGGTTGCAGTTCCCAGCCCTTCCACTTGAATGTTGCTCCAGAAGATCGTCTGTGGTGAGAAGAACTTACTGTTCTCCAGTCTAAATGCTTTCCTTCGTTTTATTATTGTTCAGCAGGCATGCAAAGCCCGGGGTGAGATATTATGGAAAGAATCAAGGACCAAAAACAACCACCACGAAACATTCTTGCCTGGGAATTGGCACTTGAGAGAGTAAGAGGGGAGTCTACATAAATCACTGTGATGTACGGCCATGATGAATGCTCCTGCAGCCACCTGCTATGAAAGGAAGGCATTAAGGATCACTGGGAAATTTACTAATTGCCTCAGCAAATTAGAATTGTGTTTACCCTTTTAGATCATATTCATTTTAATTCACAAGAGTCATTAACACATTCATAACGTTTCCTACTCAACCATATCAACATTTGCACGTGCTATTTAAATGTGTCCCCCTTCCTATGTTTATATAAACATGCACAACAATTCAGGGCCCATTATGAATCTCTAGGAGTGTTCAGGTGGCAGGAAATGAATGAAAAGTAAGTGTTCTCATAATCAAAATGTTCTCGGGGCTGAAGCTCTGTGTCAGGAATCCATCCCCCCACTTTCCCCGCCTGCTCCTCTTCCCGGTGGGCGAGGGCTCCCAGTCAGCCCTGCATCCCTGTCAGACCCTGGGGGTGGAGTAGCTAGGCAAGACTGATGCATGGTACATCTCCTTTCTCCTCCTCTCGATGGCTTAGTTTAATTGTGAAATGCATGCCTTTACTGACATCCCAAGTGTGATGCCCAAGAGTGATGCCGACAGTGTGGCCTGTTTTGATGGCACTATCCAGGGCGGAGGGGAGACCCTGGCTGGCTGAGTTGCTCCTCCCTCACCCCCTAGATGCTAGGGTAGCTCTAGTCCCTAACCTTGGCCTAGCTAGGGCCTCTGGCCACAGGCCGCCTCATTGCACACATCCCTGGACTCACCGCATTCCTGAAGACCCAGGACCCAGCAGCAGGTCACCCTCTCTGGTGACACCCTATACAAAACAACAACAACACTAAGAGACATAAGGCTTGGCCAATCCACTCAATTCAAGATCTTAGCACATTCAATTGTTTAACTTTTGATTGGACGCTTATCGATACTCAGACATGAGCAGCATGGAGGGCATATCTCAGCTTAGGCGCTTCGGAGTAGAAAATATAAATAAATAAACCAAAACAAAACACTCGAAAGCCATTTCGATAACATTCCTCTCCAAAGGCAGGCAATTTGCTTTCCTATTCTTGATTCCAGTCCTGTTTCATTATCAACTGGAAATGGCTCTTATGGATGGTAAAAATCACCTTGTATTTGCATCATGCATTAAGGGGTGAAGGGCTCTTTGCAGTCACATTTAGATAGAAACCTGGACCTTGCAGAAGCCCCTCATTTGGGTTTCCATTGATATATGCCTCCTGACAAAACACAGTGATGATGCTGAAACCGGTTTGGCTCAGTGGGTAGAGCGTCGGCCTGCGGACTGAAAGGTCCCAGGTTCGTTTCCGGTCAAGGGCATGTACCCTGGTTGCGGGCACATCCCCAGTGGAGAGTGTGCAGGAGGCAGCTGGTCGATGTTTCTCTCTCATCGATGTTTCTAACTCTCTATCTCTCTCCTTTCCTCTCTGTAAAAACTCAATAAAATATATTTAAAAAAAACAAAAAAAAAACAAAACACAGTGATGAGCCCAAACCACAGCTCTTTATTTCCACCTCTGAATTATTATCTCGACACAGGCAAGTTCACTCTGGTGTTACTACCTTGTGAGCTAGGGCCCTTCTCTGTTTATTTTTTAACAAAATGTAGAACCGGAATGGTCCTTGTCGTGTTTTCCCACACGACATCCGGGGATGGCAGTTCAAATGTCTAGGAAGGTGTGTCCTCCCTGTGTGTTCTCTTAATAAGTGGGGCTTGGTCACCAGGGAAACAGCCCCAGCTTTCATCCTTGAAGACATCATGAGCAGTGTCTCTGCAGAGGGCGAATAACACGGAATGTATTCTCCTTGTCCCACTGGGGCTCAAAGACCACCTTCGTCAGCGTCAATTCTAGTGCTTATTAAAAAATGCAGATTGGATCACAAGGCAGACCTATGAAATCAGAATCGCTGACAGTGAGACCTGGGGAAATGAAAATATCACAAGCACTGCGGGTTATTCTGATGCATACTCAGTGTGAGCACCACTGTCCTAAGGCCTGCTTGTAGGCGGCGACTCTACGGATCCCTGGCTCCCTACCTCCCACCATGATTGGGATGCCAGCCAGAGGGCACAGAGCAGCTGCCAAGCCCAGCCTGGCCTACTGCCAGAGGGGCCTGACATTGGAAATCAGCCCTCTCTCCCTACCTCCCTCTCTACGTGATCAATATGGGAAGACAAGTGTATTTGTAGGAGCTCAGTGCTTTCTCTATATTCCATCCTTTTCAAGTTATTTTTTTAAATTGATTTCAGAGAGAAAGGGAGAGGGAGAGAGAGATAGACACATCAATGATAGAGAATCATCATTGATCGGCTGCCTCCTGAAGGCTCCACACTGGGGATCAAGCCCACAACCCGGGCATGTGCCTTGACTGGGAATCGAACCGTGACCTCCTGGTTCATAGGTCAATGCTCAACCACTGAGCCACACCAGTCCGGCTCAAGTTATTTTTAGTGACACATTCTCATGTTTTATAGACATGAAGCAGAGGAGCCTGAAGTCTCCTTTGCCCTCCACCCTGGATCTCAGTCCTTCCCGGAGGCTACACTTGTCCTTTCCCTGCGTGTCTGCAGACACATGACTGCACCCCTAGGAACAAAGCAGTGTTGATGGACATTTAGGTTGTTTACAACTTTTTTGCTACTATCGACGTTGCCATAACCAGATGTTGGTCAGAGAGTACAAACTCCCAGCTATAAGGTGAAAAATTCTACGGATCTAATGGACAGCATTAGATTTAGTTAATTCAGTGACTTCCGTTACTAATACTGTATTATATACCTGAAAGCTGCTAAGAGTGTAGATCTGACTTGTTCTCACCGCAAAAATAATAAATGGTAGTTATATGATGGTGTTCACTGGTGCTATGCTGGGAATCATTTTGCAATATAGAAGTCTATCAAATCAACACATTGTACATGTTATGGTTATACAATGTCAATTATATCTCAACAAATCTGGAGAAAAAGATTCCATATGCTACTCCAATATTTGGATTGAGAGTGAAATATATATAATCAGTGGTGATATTTTCCAGCTGACCAAAACATTCTTATGCTGCTCAGTTC